AGATAATGTTTTGCCTATGTTTTCCTCTAGGAAGTTTGTTGTATCTTGTCTTATGTTTAAGTGTTTGATCCATTTTGAGTTGATTTTTGTATAATGTGTAAGGGAGTGTTCTAGCTTCATTGATTTACATGCTGCTGTCCAGTTTTCCCAACACTATTTGCTGAAGAGACTGTCTTTATTCCATTGTATATTCTTGTGGAGGCACATGATCATTTTAAAGAAGCTCTCTCCTGATTGTAGAAGAGAGCTATGATAATTGTGTTAGACCTGAAACTTCCTAAGAGGAGGGTGAAGCCTTGGAATTACAAAAAGGAGAGTTTAGGAGTCAGAAAAAAACTTAAATCTAGTCATGGATTTGCTGTTTAGCAGCTGTGGAAACAGTTGTGGAACCCCATCTCAGAGGCATGGAAGATGATACTTCAGTGGTTGGCTTTTTGTCAAGATCAAACAAGGTAATATATGGGAGAAACTGTTAAATTGCTAAGAACTGTCCATGAAAACTCTATATTGTCACCATGGCATGAGGCTGCCATCATCCTGGCATGACCTCAGGTGAGCAGTACCTGAAACCACCAGGGGGCGCTATGAGGTTGGAATTCCAGGAGACCCACGGGCGCCTGGAATCAATCCCAGGTGAGTCAACAGGGAAGGATTTCTTGAGAAACTAACATTAATCTGAAATGTAAGTAATGAGTCATATTTAGCCATGAGGCACGTGTTCTGGGCAGAGGGAACGGCGTGCACAAGAAAATCTGAAGGTGAGTGAGCACGTGATTCATTCGTGTAACAGCCCTCTCTAAAATTTGTGGCTTCCTCCGTGATTCCATCGAGTTGAGGAGGTGGAATTAGGAGCCCTATCTTGTAAGGTTGTATCTTCTCTTAAATGTAGGCAGACATGAGAGAAGGTGTGGGTCGTTCTTGAAACACAATTTTCCGCTTGTTTACAAATGATTAACTACCACAATCAATTGTGTCAAAGTTCAGGTGACTGCATCCTCTGGGACAATGGTGAGATGGTGCCTTGTGCTTCGAATGATGATAACGGAATGCATACAGGATGGTCCGAGAGCAGAGCTCGCATTCTGTGTTCTGGGCACAATTAATGTGAAAGGTCTCCTGCCCTCTGCAGCTCTCCATCCATCCCCTCACTACTCTTCCTTATTCGCACTCCCCACCCCAGCCCAGCCAGGCAGCCAGGGCAGGATGGGGAGCAGGCTGGTACTTCCAACCTGTGTCAGGAAGTAAGTTAAGTGCTTAATGTTTTATGTATTCAAACCTCAAAACAACCTTATAAAGTAGGTATTGATGAAGATTAGCCCCGTTTTCCAGATGGAAGAAACAGAGTCTTGGAGAAATTAGATAGCTTGTTCAAGGAAATCAAATCCAGCCTGCCCTCAAGTTGCCTGCTGCCTCTCCTCTCCAAGGCCCCTCACCCACACCTGCAAGGTCAACAGAGGCAGGATGGTCATCCGCCGTGTTTCTCCAGCCCTTTATGGGCTGCAGTTTGGTTTCATAAGTGCCAAGTTAGTGCAGTTTGGACTTTGAATGTGCTTCTTCTGAGGAGTCTGTGATGGGGGTACATTTGAGAGCCTCTGCCATTTGTACATGGCCTTCAAGTTGGCACCACGTCTCTTTCACATCGAACTCCTGTGCTTCTCACCACAAGCAGGGCGGATACCACCTCCAGGTTGGGAGTAGCCACTGACACTGTGTATCCGCAGTGGAGCTGGAAATGTGAAGACACCCGCCCCACATCTGGCCACAGACAATACAGACATCATTTCCACAGGTGTCACGGTGAACATTTGCTTGGACTATGCCATTTCAAGAGATTGTTAGAATCACATTTTTCTTTAATTCAGTTTAACGGCGGGGCCACAAAGAAAAGACAGAGCCATCAGTGTGCAGTTCAGAGTAACAAACAGATAAAGGGGAAGCACTCACTCTTCCAGGCTCAAATATAACAAGTCTGACTCACCCTGTGTGAGTGGTACTTGCCTTTGCTGGGCTCAACCCTAGAGGAAAGTCCTCTGACCTTTACCTGGGAGAGGTGATAGGTGAAGAGTGAAGGGCAACGGTGTTTACTGAGTTCCTTTCAGGTGCCACTATTATGGTGGCTTTCAAGGTTATCAGCAAATACTGGAGACAAATGTTAAATCTGTCTGAATCCAGTCATCATCTATACTTCACTTCCCAGCAACATCAGGGCAGCCATCTATTTTTCTCTTAATAAAATTAAGTCCTACATAAGTTATGTGGTAACAAGAACACATATTTGGTTAATTGATCTCTTACAGTTGTCATTTTTATGATGCCTATTTGTGAAACATTTTCACACTTAGCAGCTCATCCCGACCTTAAGTGATAGATAAGCATAGCCCTGTCAGTTTTCCATGTGAGGAAACAGAGCCAGAGACAGTCAATGAAAACCTCAGCTCACCTTTAGAGAGAGCACGTAGTGTGTGCTAGGCACTGTTCAAACTGTTTTAAATATTCAGATGTATCTAATTTTTGTGACAACCCCGTGAGGGTTGTTTTGTAAATGAAAAAGTGCAGGCCCAGAGAGGCTAATCATTTGCCCTGGGTCACACAGCTGGTGAAAGATACAGAGAGAATTTGAACTCACGTGGATGGACTCTAGAGCCTTATAGCCTCTTACTGACTTACTCAAAATCACGTAGCTAGAAAGAAGCAAAACCAGAATTCTAAGCCTGGCCTGCCGGACTTCAGACCCTGCACTCCACTGAGTAATGATAGCTCGCGTGTCTGAGTGCCCGGCAGGGGCCTGTTGTAAACACTTGACTTGTATGCACTTATTTGACTCTCACCACTTTCCAAGCGAGAAAACTGAGGCATAGAGGTACAGCGACTTGCCCAAGGTCCCGAAGCTGGGAAACGGCAGGGAGAGGATTCGAGCCCAGGCAGCCTGGACCTGGAGCCCACAGTCCTTATCGCCTCGCTGACCGCCTGTCCTCCCAGCTGCTCGCCCCAAAGTCTGTTTTCCATGAATACAAGCCGGGCTATAGCAGTACTTGCCATCCTTCCCATGGGTTTCTAGGGTCACAGGTAAGTTTTCTGTCTGTGCAAAGTCTAAGGCTTTTGCAGGCACTGATGGCTTTCTGTTTACTTTGCCAGACTGTTTGCTGTGTGGGGACAGCAGCTGACAGCAGCGCTCTCCGTGCAGGCTCTTCATGCGCCCAGGAGCCTCGGTCAGCTCCCCTGTCGCAGAGAGACAATGACGATGCCGGGGACGTGGGCTCGGAGGGCGCCGGCAGAGCTGCTTCTTCTGTGTGCTGCCCTGGGCTGTCTCAGTTTGCCTGGCTCCAGGTAAGTGACGGTTACAGACGACTCCCTAATCAGCAATATGACAGGAGAGTAAAAAGCTACATAATGCTGACCCTCTCCTTGTCACATGCCTGTTGAATAAGGAACATCTTTGGAAGCAATTGGCACGCGCCTGATAAAATAATATCAACAACTCTTCACGTAATTGTGGAACCAAGCGGCTGACTTCAACAGGAGTTCCCATCAGAAACGGACGTGTTTAAATGTATTTTGTCATGCTGAGAAGATTGGGGCGCTTGTGCTGTATTCTCAACAAAGCCTTGTTGTGATTCTTTACGCAGAAGGTTTGTTATGTACAGGGGTGAGGGGGAAGGCCAATTCATAGCAAGGATTTTAATATGACAGTGCCCCCTCTCTACCTGCCCATCAGCCTAAATTCTTTGCTCTCTCTCTTCTCTTTCTCTTTCTCTCTCTCTCTCTCTCTCTGTCACACACACACACCTACACACACACACACGCTCTCTCACACTCCAGATGTTCCCAGCAGTTAAACGCTAACTGATGTATTTCATCATGTTGTCGGTATTCGTTAATAGGGTGCAAAACAGGCTAAAGAAAACATCTGAGTCGAAAGCTCAAACTTAATTTGAGTGGAAGTTCAAACTCGGGCTCCAGTGCATGTCCTGGGGCAGGAGAAGTGTCCACTGTGAGGGTCTGAAGCCGCCAGGCGTCCCCGGCCTCCTTGTGAGCAGTCCCGTGGGGAAGAGGACTGTTCAGGCCACTCCTCTGACTCATTCCATAAAAGCTGGGTGAGCTCAGCCTCTCACAGGAGGAGCACCAGGCCCCCTGGGCACACCCCTGGACTCAGCTGTGCTGAGCGCTCAGGCCCCATCGGGCACCACCCGAGACCAGGATGAAGAGTGTTCCCTACCCCCTGGGCACTCGATGAATAACAGCCATTAGGATTATCCAGAAACTCCACTTGGCCGTGAAAAGAGCGAAGCTGCCAAGGCCTTCCTTGTATGCACTCTGTGTCCGTCAGGAGCCGAGGAAATGTGTCAGGAATGGAGGGTTTAGCGGGGTCACAGCATCCCTGCCCACATGCGCACCCCTGCGTGAGGCTCCCTTTCCGGCTCCGGGGATGCGGAGATGAGCAGGACACAAAGGGCTCATGTTCTCACGGAGGAAACCAACATGTGAGCACGTGCTGTGTGAACTGCGACGAGAGATCATGCAGGGGCAGGCGGGGAACAAGGGAGGGAGTGTGCGCTGTGCTGGGCGTGGGGTCTGGAACGGCTTCTGGGAGAGGAGATGCTTGAGCTGACTCTTCCCGTATGAGAGGTGTTTGCCAAAGGGCCAGGAGCGCCGAGGGTGTTCCAGGCCGAGGAAGCAGCACAGACAAGGGCGTGGAAATGGGAGTGCCTGGCTTGCTCCTGAAGCTGCACATCTGCTTCAGTGAGCTTTGGGCACAGGGCAAGGTGGGCAGCTGCCCCCGGTGAGACAGGGTGGGAGCCAGCCGGAGTCAGATCACGGGCGGGCCTGAGGGGGCCCTTGCACACCAGCTGCAGAGCTTGAACCTTATCTTCTAGGCGATGGGGAGCCACTGGGGGGCTTTTGGCCAAAGATGGACAGGGTCAGACTTACAGGTTAGGAAGTTCTCCCTGAGGCAGGAGGTGGAGGTGGGAGTGGGCGGGTAGACGACAGGTCAGGGACCCTCGCGTGATCCTCCAGCTATGCTGGGAGAGGACTGTGATCTCTCTTCGTACCATGTAGAAAACCACACTGGTCCTCGGAGAGGAGAAGAGAGTCATTCACGTTTGGTGAGTCTCAGACCCTTCCCTGAATCTGGGTTTAGCGCTCTGACCTCGACGCGTGGTTCCCACGGGGCACCCCTGAACACGGCATGCGATTGATTTCCACGCCTTCAATTCTGGCACGGAAAATGCTGAGACCTCCGTCATATTAGCTAAAAAAGTGTCCATTTTTAGTTACTCTTGTAATCAAGTCAGATGAAATGGCCATCACAGCATCACGAGACCTGTGTTTATTTCCTGCTGTACCAGCCACTTAGATATGTTAGCCCCAATCCTCCCAGCCATTTGAGATAAATGTTATTGTTTACAGTTTACAGAGAAGCAAGCTGAGATTTAGGGAGATGACTGTCTCAAGGTTCCTCACTTAGTACAAAACAGAATATGGATTCAAATCCAGTTTCATTTATTTTTTTGGTCTGATTCCAGAGCCCTTGTCTGCTCCTGCATCTTTCTGCCTCTCACTAAAGCATTATTGCCTCTCCACCTACCTTGTGGATCTGACTTGCTAGACTCCCAGGCCATTTCTCTATCTCTGGACCACACATTGGTTGCCTTGAGATGTTGCTTTAAATTTCATGTCTACAACAGCAAATGACAGAGAGAAGAGAAATTGAAAATCTGCCACCCAGAAGCTGCCCCTTCCAGCAAGGAGGAAGGATGCTATTTGCAAAGGGGACAGATGCAGCTGCCGAACAAATTGTGTGTGACAAGAAAGTTGTTGTGTCAGGGCATTTCTGCAGAAAGCCAAAATATATTGATATACCCGTCTATATAAACTGATGGCTCGCAATTTACTGCTGACCTAATCCTGCCGTACGCGATGGATTCATCTTTCTTTTGATCAGAGACTCCTGGTAGACAGAAAGTAGGAGACAGGGACAGAGTGAAATATGTCCTCGGGCCGGCAACAGATTCCGTGCACCCCGAGGAGTGGCAGGTACATCCTTGCCTGTCCTGACGTAGGGGATACGTTCCAAGGACTTGCAGAAGGGTGTTTGCTGTAGCATTGTCTGCAATTGCAAAATATTGAAAAAAATATAGATGTCCCTTCAAAAGGAATAAATGGGTGGAATGTATGTCTTATGATGGAACATCTGGTTAAAGGAAGGAACAAGATCTCTTTATCAATCAACACGGATAAGCCAGAAATACAAAGTTGATTGACAAAAGCAAGTTACAGAATAATATGTCCAGTATGAGTGAAGCACATGAAAGCAGTGCTCTCTGGTGTGTCTGTATGTGGATATGCAAAACACTTAAAAGACTAGAAGGGTACACGCCAAGTTCATGACCGTGCCATCCTCTGAAGGAGAGGAGAGGAAAGTGGGACTGGGGCTAGTGTCAGCAAAGAGGTCAAATTTAAAAGATTATCTTCTATTTAAAAAAAAAAAAAGAAGAAGAAAGTATTTGAAAATGTTAACACTTGCCAGTCCTGGGTTGTAAGTACATAAGTATTATTTTTTCCGTGCTTCTCTGGACATATTTAACTTTTCAACATTAAAAACATCCAGAGGATTTTTTTCACACCTTCATTGTACTATGGTTCCTGTACAGTAAACTACACGTATTTCAGATGTAAAATTTGACGAATTGTGATAGAGGTATACACCCATGAAACCACCACCAGAATCAAGGTAGCTAACCTTTCCATCACTCCCAAGAGATGCAATTTTCAAGTTCCCAGTTTATCCCTCCCCACCCCTTTACACCTCTGGTAACCGTAAGATAAACATCCAGAAGAATTCGAATGACAGACATCAAGTCGGTTGCTCAGAACGTCCATCTGGTTTGTTTCTGTAAATTCACAGGCATGAAGGCCCTGACTGCCCCTGCCCTCTGTTGGGTCCATGCTAGTCCCAGGAATTAAAGATGCGATTTAATGCCGGTCTTGCTTTCAGGTGTGCGTTTTGTAGGACTCAGAAACCGCACACGTCTTAGCTGCTGTAATTTACAGAGGTACTATGTATTCAGCTGATGACTTCATTGTATTGCCACCTCCATAATGAAAACTGGGTGCAAAAGTGAGAGAGCTGGTGGTTATAACTACTCTTTACCAAGTTCCTTCTGTAAGCGATCATCTTGCCCATTAACAGGGTCACAAATGTCAGAGCAGAAAATGATGGTGATTCTTAATAGCGTGTATGCACATGACTTACCCACTCAGTCTCCACTGTGGCCTGAATTGGGTGGATGGTTGCTAAAAACACAATATAACTGTTTCTTAGTGGAAACAGGAAGAGGATATCCTGCCTGGCTGTCAAATACGTGCTTAGGAGAAGCCAAATCATAGACAATATTGCTTTGTCAAATGAGTAGATAAGACCACATTCTGAAGCCTCCCCGCTGGTCTGCGGCATCCTGCTCAAGTAACCATTTTTAAGTATCCACCTGTGGTTTCCAGGAGCGTCTTTGACCTTTCGTTCAAGATCCAACATTACTAGGCAATTGATTTTTGCTGGTCTCTGGGGTGGTCATGGAGATGGATTTCACTGTAGTTAATATTACCCTCCTTTAAGGACTTTTGCCAAGTGAGAATGTATTGTTAATGACCTTGTCTGGAGTGATGTTCTGTCTATTAGAGACAGTGGAAACGATGTGATACTGTCCCCGAGAAGTCAGTCGTGGACGCAGGGGTGAAAGATGCCTCGTCTGGAGATGGAGGCGATTGGTGGAGGGGGTGCTGGCCCAGTTCCCCTCCAGGCAGCGTGGGGCAATGGGCATAACACCAGCACTGGAGTCGAACAGATGTTGGATCAGACCCCAGCGTGATCGCGTGCCAGCTGCGTGACTCTCGGCTGCCTCCCCCTCTGTCCAGGCGGCACGGCCCCAGTGCCGCCCCTAACACTGCTGTCAGGATTAGATGAGCTGGCAGGGGTGAAACATCTCACACAGGGTCTGACACATCCTGGGTGCTCAACAAATCTAAATTCTTTCTCTTTTCTTCTCCCTTTTTACCCCGAAAAGAAACATGAGTTACAAAGAATCTTACAGCATTATACATTCTTTCAATAGAGATTATAATATACCCATCATGTTACACCTGGGGAAACTGGAGGCAAGACAGAGTAAATAACATGCCCAGTCACTCTCTCTCACCCAGTGTCCCACGAGTGCCAGGAGCTTAACAAAAAGTATTGCCTTATTGTCTAGACATATTTCAGGTCTCACGTTGCATGGCTGCAATGCAGATGTGACACCGTCTGCCTCTCCCATCCCCCACCAACACCACCACTGGCCTCACTCCATCCCCCAGTCACCTCTATGTATTTACCCTGCCTGGCCTGGCAGGCACCAGTCTCTCCTGGCAGCGCACCTGCTCCCCACCGGTTTCTCTTTGGCCCGCATCTCTCAAGAACAGTCTTACCCTCTCCTGTAGCTTTTCACAATCAGATCCGTATCTCTAGTACAGATCTCTCTCCTGAGATCCAGAACTACTTAGGATCTTTGTTTTTTAATGGAAGCACAGTTGATTTACAATGTTGTGTTAGTTTCTGGTGTACAGCAGTGATTCAGTTATACATATATATTTTCTTTTTCATTACAGCTTATTACAAGCCATTGAATAGAGTTCTCTGTGCTACACCGTAGAACCCTGCTGTTTATCTATTTTATATATAGTAGTTTGTTTCTGCTAATCCCAAACCCTTAATTTATCCTTCCCTCCCCGCCTTTCTCCCTTGGTAACCGTAGGTTTGTTTTCTGTGTCTGTCAGTCTGTTTCTGTTTTGTAAATAAGTTCATTTGTGTCATTATTTTATTCCACATATAAGTGATAGCATGTGATATTTGTCTTTCTCTGACTTACTTCACTTAGAATGATGATCTCTAGGTCCAAGCGGCATTATTTCCGTAGGAACTATTTATTGAGACTCTACATAGGTGTTCCACAGGCACCTGGAACTCAGCATGCCCCGGCTGCACCTTCCTCAACAAGTTCCCTTGCTCCTGTGCTCCTCACCCACCCTCACACTCAGACTGCAAACCAGCATCAACTCAAACCCCTTCCTCTAACCCACATCCCCTCCATTACCCATCACTTGTCTCCATTCCACCTGAGCAATGTCCCGTCAGTCCGTCTTCCCCATCCTCCGTCCCCTGCACTTCAGGCTCACATCGCTCACCGGCACTCCTGCACGAGCCTCCCACCTGCTTGTCCTGCCTCCGACTCTCCCCACCTCCATGCAGCCACCTCGCCGCAGCCTCAGTGATGTCCGACAGCACAGCTCTGACCATGGAGCCTGCGTGCTTAAGAACCTTGCCTACTGCTTGATCTCCAAAATATATAAGCAGCTCATACGAC